GTTCTAAGAGAAGTATCCAGTTTTGGCGCACTATTTCGACTTAGAATAGAATTGAGTTCAAATTTGTTAAAGAGCTTAGGAAAATCTGCATACCAAGTTTGATTATTCTAGCACTTATACTTTCTGAGATCCTTGCGTTCATACAGACAGACGGACAAACAGACGTACATTACAAACCCCACAAAGTGTTTATATTCTTGTCCGTCTGCCTGTATGAACGCAAGGATCTCAGAAAATATAAGAGCTAAAATAACCAAACTAGGTATCCAGATTCTCCTGAGCCAGAGAAAGGACGAGTTTGTAAATTTTTTCTGATGCACCCCACTCCCCCCTTTTCGTGATTTTCTATACCTCCCGTAATTCTTGGATTTTGGTAGTCACATCTAGTTAGTGATTATATATCCGTATACCAAGTTTCATTATGGTAGGTTGATTAGAAAGAAAGTTATAGCCATATAATCAAGCCCAAGCTCAGTCCGCAGCTGTATTTGTTGCTGCTTTGACATAATTAGGTAATGCACACGTACATATGTACAAGTACAGACACACGCATAGACACGATTCTGATGTAAATATGCAAGTAAATGTATGTATGGAATATTTAATATTTAATTTAATTAATTCAATTAATTAAATTTGTTTAATACATTTTTTTAGTGGGGTGGTACAAGGTATTTAAGAATTCCTTTCTTGTTATACCCTGTACCCGTAGGATAAAAAGGGTATATTAGGTTTGTGCAAAGTATGTAACATGCAGAAGGAAGCATCTCCGACCCCATAAAGTATATATATTCTGAATCAGCATGACGAGAGAAATCGATCTAGAGTCTAGACATGTCCGTCCGTCCGTCTGTCCGTCCGTCCGTCTGTCCGTCCGTCTGTCCGTCCGTCTGGATGAACGCAAGGATATCAGAAACTATAAAAGCTAGAATAACCAAAGTTGACATCCAGATTCTCCTTGGTCCGAGGATATCAGAAACTATAAAAGCTAGAATAACCAAAGTTGACATCCAGATTCTCCTTGGTCCGAGAAAGGACGAGTTTTTTTAATTCCCCCCCCCCCCCTTCCCCCACTACCGAATTTCAATTGCGTCCACATTTCAAATGCTATCCACTTCGGTCAATTCTAAGAAAAGTTATTAGCGAAACAAATTCTCGCTAGTACAACCCCCCAAAACTGCAGCAACAAGTTCGCTCTTCTTCTTCCTCTTTTTGCTGCTGCTTTGGGCGCATATAACTCAGTGACGGAAGATTACCTGGGTACAGGGTATTACACTGTCGGGCTTGCTCGACTGTAGCGTTCTCTCTTGTTTTAAAGATGGAATTTGTGTAAATAATATTTAATTCCGACAATTTGGCATCGCTTTTATTCATATGAATTAATTTAATTTAAATCATTTACATGTATCGGTGTGAACTATTGGATAATTAGGCCATTCACAGATAGTATCGCGTTTAGTTCGTAATTATGCCAAGAGAAGCTTATAAGCAAAAATTTCGCGACTCATGGTTAAACGAGCCAGAATTTAAAAACTCGCTGTGCCGTTATGTGACAGACAATATCAAAACTTATTGCAAATGCAGTTTCCATTCCAAAATTGATTAAATTCGTGCACATAGTAACACTAAAAAGCATATTCAAAATGCTCAGGCAAATTAAATTAATTTCCCGGCCGTGACAAATATTGAAGTTTGTAGCCAGGAGGCGGCGCTAGCAATGTTTGTTGTCCAACATGCCACCTAATCGAGTTATTTAACAACAATTTTGCCGCTAAAAATATCCAATTACACCGGGCAAAGAGCACCAACATTATTAAAAGCGTTGTAGCCGCACACTTCAATGAAGATTTGCGGAATGATATTGGGGATGGGAAATACAGTCTGTTTGTTTATTCGACTGATGTGAGCATTACCAAGATTTTAGGAAAGAATAAATCTCTTGACGCAAAGTATTTTCTTTTATTCCATTTTACTCCACTTGGGAGCTTAGGGCTTCTACAAGTATTTTCCATCTAACTTTTTTCTGGCCGTCTGTCTAGCTGTGTCCCATGTAATGTTCTTATGGCATAATTCCTGAAGGGTGGTCCGTCGCCAGGTTATTTTAGGTCTGCCGACCCGTCTGCTTCCTTGGGGGTTCCAGTCTAGCGCAAGCCAATCCACATCCATTTCTTCTTCCTTATCTGGAGGTGGATTGGTGACTCACCAGTCAGTCCATATGCGATACAGTCTTCCGAAAGCTGATCGGGCTTTGATAAGACGGCTCGATACATCTTCGTTCAAGCCACCATTGTTGGAGTTAATGGTGCCGAGGTATGGGAAGTTAACGACAAACTCGATTGGGTTCCCACATATGTTGATGTTTCCTTGACTGGCGTGATTGAAGCGCATCGCTTTTGTTTTTATCCGTGTTTATTTCCAGCCCGACTCGACTGGCTGAGTCCACGAGGTGATCAGCTTTTGATTGAATATCACAGAGTCTGTGAGAGATCAGACAGATGTCATCCGCATAGTCCAGGTCTTCAAGATGTCTGTTCAAGCTCCACGTGATGCCATACTTGGATTTGCATATTTCCCTCATGAGCTCGTCTACCACGATGTTGAAGAGTAGTGGCGATCGAGGGCAGCCTTGCTTGACCGCTGTGTTTGTTTGGAAAGGTGCATTGGTTTTTCCATTGTGCAGGACCGCCATGTTGGCATCATCATACATCGCCATAATTATGGTGATAATTTTGGTCGGCACCCCATATCGCCGCTCTTTCCACTACTATAAATCGAAGGAAAACAGCGGGGCCCGCCATTCCACAGCTTTTTCAGTAATTATGTGTGTTTGCCTGGTCTACGCAATTCCCGTGTGGTCTGAATCCTCCTTATTCATCACGTATTAATGGCTCAATTTTTGCCTGAAGACGCTCGGTCAATAGTATTAGTTGTACAAGTATTAGTTTCGGTAATCATTGAGTTGGACTCGAGAACTCACGACCTCTTGTTTGGTGCGTACGTGCCTATCCACTACGCCACCGAGGCCCCTACTGATTGAGAATACATTAAGAATATATTTACGTCATTTTATGAGGTCGGAGATGCTTGCTTCAGCTTGCTCAACACTTTGCGCAAACCAGCGTTGATCGACATCAGATATAGTCTTCAATGATAAAGATGCCGCCGAATTAGCAAATACTGCATCACTGGAAATACAAGTAAGTATGCCCAGAATAGTGCAAAAAGAAAAGACATAGACCAAATCCACCATTTACATCAGCTCTTCTCTCTGATCAAGAAAAAGAAGTTGGGATGAATGGAAAAATAAATGTGCTCATAAGTTGTTACTTAAACATTTCATTCCGCTGTACAAATAAACAAATAGACAGTACAGGTTTGTTCCTACAGAATTTTGTCAATACTGTCCACAAAAAATTCCACGTCGAAAGAGGCGTGGCAGACAGCACAAATATATCAGCATGACAAGACGAGTCGATCTATGTCTGTCCGTCCGTATGAACGCCTGGATCTCAGAGACTATATGAGATAGAGGCACCAAACATTGCACAAAGATATCTTATGTGTGTACGCTGTGCATGTTTGTTTTATTTTTCTGAATTTTCTGCAAATCCACATAAGGCATCTTGGAAAATTCCCTATAAAGGGGAAGTGGGGGGAAGATCCTTTCTCGGACCTATGAAAACCTGGATACCAACTTTGGTTATTCCACTTTTTATAGTTTTTGAGATCCTTGTGTTTATCCAGACGGATTTGTCTCGTCATGCTGATTAAGAATACATATACTCTATGGGGTAGGAGATCCGTCTGACCGTCTGTCCGTCTGTCTGTATCTCAGGATCTCAGTAAGTACAAGAGCTAGGATAACCAAAATTGGTACCAAGATTCCTATAAGCCCTAGGCAGATCGAGTTTGTTTATTTTTTCTGATACACCCCCCCACTCCCCCGCAATTCGTGGAATTCTCGGAATTTTGAAATCAATTTTGGTAGGTACATCCAGTTAGTACTAATGTGTCCGTGTGCCAAATTTCATCATGATAGGTCAATTCTGAAGAAAGTTATAGCCATAAGTAAAATTGCTGCTCATGCGCTGCCTGCAGCTCTGTCGGCAGCGCTGCCCGCAGCTGTTGTTGTTGTTGCTGCTTTGGTTCAACTTTGTGCTGCATACATACACGCATATAAACACGCATAGGTACGTGATGTAAATATATGCTGTTTAAACTGAACATAAACATGTATTCTAATTTTATTTAATTAATTATTTTAATTAATTCATTCATTCATTTTTTTTAATAATTTAATTTTTTTTTTAATTTTTTGTTTTAATTTTTCCTTTTTGTGGAGAGTACAGGGTATTTTACTGTCGGGCTTGCTCGACTGTAGCGTTCTTTCTTGTTTTTTTGTTTTACTGCATACAAGCACGCATAGACGCGATTCTGATGTAAATCTATGCTGTTGAAATTGTACATAAACAGTTATGTCTGTATGCATGTGTTAAATATTTGATATTAATAAAAATTTTGAATCCGTTCGACTTTAGCATTCCATTCTTGTTTTGGTTGTATGTAAGCATGACAGAATAAGTCAAAGCAGCAACAGCAATAGCTGAGAGCTATATGGCTATAACATTCGTCACAATTGACATATCATTATCAAATGTAATATATGGACATATAAGCACTAACTGGAGCTATTTGCCAAATATGACTTTGAAATTTCAAGAATTACGGGAGCTTGAAAATACACCAATATCGGAACAGACGGACGGACAAAAGGACATGGCTTTATCAACTTGTCTTGTCATACTGATCAAAAATATATATATTCTTTGTGGGGTCTGCCACGCCTCCTTCTGTGTGTCACATACAACTGCACAAAACTAGTATAGCCTTTTCCCTTTCAAAGAGATTGTATTTTACATACATACCTATATACCACATATTTGGGGCGATTGAAGATTGTAAGCATGTAACAATAAAAACAAGTGACGAAATTGTCAAACTTGAATGCACAAAACATATATTTATTGACTTCATGCACTCATCTTGCAATTATTTTTATACAATTTCTTTGTTTTTATTTTGTTTAATCCTTTTTTTCGGCCATTTAATATTGTCCATAAGTTTATGTTGTTGTTGATCTGAACGGACAAAGTGGGGAGTTAAGCAAGCAAGCCATCAGAATAAATGTAGACTCTGCAGCCGGTGCACTGAACAGCAGCAGTATGGATATCAGTAGTAAGACGAAGAGAAAGTTACTTAAATTCATGATGATATGGAGCTGTTACAAGCTCAACAGTAGCCACTGAGCTTATTCACACTAAACTTAACACTGGACTTGCGGCGCATCACCAGGTCGTATTTATATCAATGTTGCGCCACATAGAATTCCATGACACAGAAATTTAGTCAACATTTGCACAGACACAGACCCATGCGCCCAGCCAATGTGGGTCATAAGTGCTTGTCCAGCTGGAAATTCATTAACGGACACCTCAGTTAGATAAAAAAAACGGATATCGAGATGTGAGAACGGGTGTTTCGAATTGTCGTTCATTGAAGAAATCGAATTGGTATTACGAAGATTTTGATGCTTATGTACTAATGTTTCAGAGACATACATATATTGTAATAGTTTGTAAATTAAATTAAATTTTAAAATTCAGTTTTCTTTATCTGTATTCAAGTTATCAGAGGGAGCTAAGTTTTAGTCAGAGTTGTCTACCTAAGCACTCTGCAAGCCCTATCTAAACATAATTATAAAACAGTTTGTACTGACTGACTGATTGGTGATCAACGCACAGCCCAAACGGTAAAAGATTGGAACTGGGCTCAAGTATTCTATCATAATGTATGAGCCCACTAAGAAGCGGTTTTGGAAAATTTTAACGATAAATGAAGGAAAACGATCAACAAAGTTTGTTTTTAAAATCCGCATTTCACCAACTTAAAACTCGGTTTATATAATCTATGACAGAATACCAAAAAAAACTACAAACTCGGCTTTTGACATTTTTTTTGGAGCTTGAATTATTGGAGTTTTAGAATTTCTTCACATTTTGTCTGACCGATTTCAAATCGATTTCGATCTAAAACTTGACCTTCAACAATACACAGCGTTCACACATAACGCATCTATCTGCAAAATTGGATGCCTCTAGCTCTTATAGTCTCTGGGATCCAGGTGTTCATAAAGACAGACAGGACTATATCGACTCGTCTTCTCATGCTGGTCAAGAATATATATGAGGGTTCTGCCACGCTTTTTTTAGCCTGTTACATTTTTCATCTTTAATAAAATAAACATAAATCTTTATTCTGAAGGCATCAATCACCTAATTTTGCATATGATTAATTTATTTTTTTTTATAGTTTTTATGAAACCAATCTACCGTGTAAAACGGAATTATGTGCATACTCTTGTACATTTTATGTACGGAGCATAAAAATTACCTACCCTGAATATCAGTATCATACTACATAAATATACATATGGTCATATGTATGTAGTATTGGTATATTGTTCTGTTTCCTTGGTTGACACCGACTCCAAAAATAACAATAATTGTACCTACATAATTTTTTGATTATTAAGTTGTAGAAGAACACGCAATTATTTCTTACTTTTTAGTGCCTGATAATTTGTTTTGGAATAGTTTGAAGCCGGTTATTTTTTGTTAAAATTGTTTTTTATGTAAAAGCAAAATTCATAAAAGCTACATTTTCTTGGGATATCCTCAAGAAAGTTATTATAGCAACAGTAATTTGGGCACAAATCGGTCCTATGACAGCATTGCTATAAACAAAATTTAAGCTCTAATTGATTTGAAAAAAAAAACGGCTTAAAAAGTCTCAGTATTCATACGGATGAGCGGACGGACAGAGAGACGGAGAAGTTCATATCCACTCGTATCATCATTATAATATACTATATATGTATACCTACTGCATGGGGTATGCTACGCCTACTTCTTTATAACATTTTCGAAGTCTTACAATAACAAATTCTAGTTTCACCAAACAAATTGAAATATAAATGTGTTATTATTTATCGAATAAAAGGCTTTTCTGAATTATGTATGTATATACACATGCATACTAAAATGTATTTTGAATGCATATAAAAATATATTTGCGCACTTGCAGATTGTATTGCTGCCCAGCCCTGGGTAACCCAGACTGCGGTCTGTCCAAATGTCACAAACTGTCGGCAGAGACCACACGAACCGCTGCAGACGCCGGACTGGGAGATAACGATATTTTGTGAACATTTTAAACACGACACTAAACTTAATTACAAACATCCAAGCCAACCCACTGGCAACATAAAGCACATTGTGCAAATTTTATTTACGGCTTGGGCACATTTTCAATACATTTGAATGAAATTAGTTAACACGCGCATTGCGTAATTGTGCGTGGCTTTTTATTCGAGTGTGAGAGTGTGTGAGTGTCAAACATTTGCAAATGTGATATGCCAATTTATATGAATGCGAGGATTCAATTGAATTGTACTTATTTAGACTGTATGTACGCGTAATTGCCCAACCTGATTATAGCTAATTACGCTGCAAGCATTTAATGGTCGTACGAAAAGTGTACTAACGTTGCAAATTAAAGTTTATAACAAAGATTTCCAGTAACAATCTAACCGCAAACCAGAATACGTACATTCGTACTTACTAGTGCTAAGTTAGTTACTAAGTTTTATTGAATCTACTCAGTATGAATGCATCCATCCCAAATGAAAATATTTAAAAATTGCCTTCAATTCCCAAGTTGATTCCAACTATAAATTGTTTTAGATACAAAGTAAAATCTCTTGACATACTGCGAGTATACAAGTATACTTGTATTGTTGCATCGGGCTGGTCACGAAGAATAAAAGGTGGCAGCGCTACGGAAGGCGCCAAGAATTTACAAAGGTACTGCAGCGCCATCTAGCGGTACCGAGCGAGGCACCATGGTGGCAACTGCAGCCACGCAGGCGCAGGGTTGTGTCCCGATGGCACCTCAAAGTGGGGAAACGTCAAGGCCGTGATGAACGGATGCGCAAGGACGTAAAAATCCGCAGGCATACGACATCCGGCCTATAAAAGGCAAGCCGCAACACGCCATTCCTGTTTTTGGGGCGACGGTGCAGACCCACGAGGCAGTGTTTTCGTTTGGTGAACTGGAGGCCGTGCTGAAACCTGAAAAAGGAAAGGAAGAACCAGAAGCCGTTCGAAGGTGAGCATAAGGATATAGATGCAAGGCAGAACTAATGCCGATGTATACATACCTGTATATCTACTTAAATGTGCCGACCAGTGCTTAAATGCCTTTTGTTCCTTGGCATATAGATTTTCCGGCATATCGCCAAGTTTTCGGACAGCGGTGGAACCATACACAGCAGCTGCAGCGGCCGTCATAAGTAGCAGCACGAGCTGCATCGTAGCAGGAGCAACAGCGACAGCAGCAGATCCAGCACCAGCGTCTTCAACGACAGCAGCAGATCCAGCACCAGCGTTTTCAACGGCAGCAGCAGCAACGACAGTGGCAGCCGGAGCAAAGGCGCCCACCCAAGAAGTGGCAGCAGCAATAGCGGCGCCACCACAACGCAACAGCAGACACGTCCGTCTGCGCCATCAGCAGCGGAGGATAGACAAGCCGGTGAGTCCGTTCCTTGGCCACGCGCCGTGCCTATTGTTCGCGGTTGAGCAGCGACATCAGGCAGAGATCCCGCGCGCCTTACGTCGTGTCGTTTGTATGGGCTGCGCCTGCAGGGTCCCACACGCCGCCCCATTGAAGTTTCTGCAAAAGAAAAAAAAGGAAGATAATACAAAAGAAAGAATATATACAGATATAATAAAAACCAAAACAAGGCAGAAAGTGGCACCTAAACAGAGCTTGGCGCTCTATTTAATTCAAAAAAAAAAAAAGTTCACACTCTTATACACACTTATATTGTATGAAGATTGCCAATTGCAGTAGCGCGCAGTGTTTTATATGTATTCTTATATTTCTATTGCGCCCATGACCGTCGAGAGCTCTCGTTAGGATTTGGTTAGACATTTTTCTATAAATTTTTGTACCGCGCATATTTTTCTCATACACATACACATATATCTATATACATATTTATTTGCCATAAACATACTTGCATGTTGGCGCACATAAAGAACCGCATTGGCCGTTGGCAAGCCTTCTTTATTTTGTTTTTATATAAATTATTATTGTTCCATATTTACATTGTTTTCACTCACACTCAATCACACTGAAATATATGTATGTTTGTAGCCACATAAACTGAAAATTAATTGTTAATTTTAATGGTCGCACCGTTGGTGATGATGCATTAAAGCAGCATCAGTAGGGGCGGGAGACTCACCTGTGCCATGGAATAGCCCAAGCACGGTCCAAATAAGGGTATCCAAGAAACATTTTGCCTTTGGATACAGGCAGGGAGGGTACGCCTGGGATAACAACAGCTAAATCCCATACAGTTGTCCGATGCCTCCAATCCCTGTCCGTCCGCACGTATATTATCTCCTTTTACAGTCACCCGTATTCGTACGGATGGCTTGAGGGAGTTATCCGTTTATTTGTTTTCTTGTCGCAGTACGTTTCTTTTAGTTTATGTTAGTTTTTTTGGTTTGTTTACGTTTTGAATTCGGTTTTGTATATTGCGCGTCGAATTTATTGTAGTGATGGCATTTTGTTTATCGATGGAGGAACCGTGTTATCGGTTATTGTACGACTCACGCGGGCATAGGGTTGGAACCACACACCCAAGGAGAATTCCGATGAGCCAGCCGGCGTTGCCCAAGAGGAAAAGCGTAGTCGTAACAATATGGCGCCCAAATTGGATGTTTGAATTTTTAATGCCAAGGAGTAGGTGGAGTTGTTTAGGGCCCTGTACCACGTTTGGGGAGGAGTCTAGGCAGCCGCCGTACGCAGGCTGAGAATTTAGATAGGAAAAAAATAAATTAAGCCGATGGCTAGGGGCCGACGATCGGTATGGTAGGGACGGAATCCCTTATAGCACCAACTGCAAGCGTGTGTGACATGGACAGTAAGTCACGAAGGTGCGAGTATGAGCCCTTCGTTTGCGACTGCCATTTGGAACGACGCTAGGCAATGGGTACTATGGGGGGATTCCAATGCGCGTTTGTTTTGTTATTTCGTTTCAGTGTTCTTTGTTGTAATTCTTGCGTCAATTCGTTTGTGCACGGTCGCCGTGGTGTCATCGTGTTTGCCTGGTGGACGTAGAGTACCGGTGGCCCAGGATGACTAGGAAAGTCGCCTGCGATGCACCGCTA